ATTAACCTTTAGAGTCTGAGTCATAAAGACTATATAATATTCTGTCATTTCTGATGAGTTTCTTTGGGTTTTAAAAGACAATTAATTGCACTGACACTACAGTTCAACTAAATTTAAACTGAATTGAGCTGAATGATTTCTGAAGGATCATGTGACACTGAAGACTGGAGTAATGATGCTGAAAATTCAGCTTTGATCACAGGAATAAATGACATTTTACAATATATTACAACAGAAAACTATGGAAGCTTGTTGCCGCTACAGAATAATAATAAAAAAGCTAATTTCATCTTTTAATCTCACAATTCTGACTTTTTTTCTCACAATTGCGAGATTTAAACTCGCAATTTCATGTTATAAAGTCAGAATTGTGAGATATAAAGTCGCAATTACGAGAAAAGGTCAGACATGCAATTGTGAGTTTATATCTTGCAATTTTGACTTTATAACACGCAATTGTGAGTTTATATCTTGCAATTTTGACTTTATAACATGCAATTGTGAGTTTATATCTTGCAATTTTGACTTTATAACATGCAATTGTGAGTTTATATCTTGCAATTTTGACTTTATAACAAGCAATTGTGAGTTTATATCTTGCAATTTTGACTTTATAACACGCAATTGTGAGTTTATATCTTGCAATTTTGACTTTATAACATGCAATTGTGAGTTTATATCTTGCAATTTTGACTTTATAACAAGCAATTGTGAGTTTATATCTTGCAATTTTGACTTTATAACATGCAATTGTGAGTTTATATCTTGCAATTTTGACTTTATAACATGCAATTGTGAGTTTATATCTTGCAATTTTGACTTTATAACAAGCAATTGTGAGTTTATATCTTGCAATTTTGACTTTATAACAAGCAATTGTGAGTTTATATCTTGCAATTTTGACTTTATAACACGCAATTGTGAGTTTATATCTTGCAATTTTGACTTTATAACATGCAATTGTGAGTTTATATCTTGCAATTTTGACTTTATAACATGCAATTGTGAGTTTATATCTTGCAATTTTGACTTTATAACACGCAATTGTGAGTTTATATCTTGCAATTTTGACTTTATAACACGCAATTGTGAGTTTATATCTTGCAATTTTGACTTTATAACATGCAATTGTGAGTTTATATCTTGCAATTTTGACTTTATAACATGCAATTGTGAGTTTATATCTTGCAATTTTGACTTTATAACAAGCAATTGTGAGTTTATATCTTGCAATTTTGACTTTATAACACGCAATTGTGAGTTTATATCTTGCAATTTTGACTTTATAACATGCAATTGTGAGTTTATATCTTGCAATTTTGACTTTATAACACGCAATTGTGAGTTTATATCTTGCAATTTTGACTTTATAACACGCAATTGTGAGTTTATATCTTGCAATTTTGACTTTATAACACGCAATTGTGAGTTTATATCTTGCAATTTTGACTTTATAACACGCAATTGTGACTCTCGCAATTAAATAATTGTTTTTACTGTATTTTTGATCAAATAAATGATTATTTGGTGAGCAGAAGAGACTTGATCTTTCAAAAACATATGATCAGTGTCTGATGTTTCTCACTGTAATATGTGCCTGTTTTTGTGTTGTTCCTTTCAGAAGAAGAACGGCTCCAAAGACACTCTCTCAGAGAGCTCTGAACCGGACACTAAAAGCTCCGCCAAGGTGGTGAAGACCGTACACACATCTCGAGTCAAAGCCGAAACGTGAGTGCTTCTCACAGTCGAAGCGTCAGGGAAAGTCTGCATGAAACACTGAAGTGATCCAGATACACGGACACCCTCAATGAAAAATCATAAATCTGTTTAATTCTACAGTAAAACAGATGTCTTCACGTGGTCTAGAGTCTCCTGTGAAATTAGATTCATTTCCTACTGACAATCAAATGAAGGATGGTGGACCGTTGTATAGTTCACACGACTCAGTCTGATATTGTCGCAAACAATATCTTTTGAACACATTTTCGTACAGTATTAAACGTCTGTGAGCTAAATCAGCATGTGGGAATGGTGGTAAACATTGCTTTGTATTATTATTATTGTTGTTGTTCGTTGTGTCCTCAGATTTTAGAGTCAGCTCTGCTGTAGGAAATGTTGCTGCTGTATTTCTATTTTTGTTTTTGCACAATAACGTAGACTCGTTTCTGTTTAAAAAAATCACTGTAACTAAACTGGAAACTCAAATTCTTGTCAATAAAGACATTGCATTACATTCACACTGGGGTTATTTGACCTGCATGTTGAACACACTGCTAGTGGGAGGCAAACATATTAAACAGTAATGTACAGATACAGGCAATAATTTTATTGGGGAAATACAATATATGCACAAGACAATGGGCTCTTTGCAGTGACTGATTACATGTCATCTGGATTACATAATCAGATTCCAAGAAATGTACTTGTAATAAGATTATATTGCGTTTTAAAATACTCGTAATCTGACTACAGTTAGTCTTTTTTTATTGATTACAGGTTATTCTCACATTGGCAGTAAATTATTCATAATTCATTGATTATTGTCCCTTCCACTTCTTCCTTTCTAAAAACAGTCTGCGTATATATGTTCAGGTTTGTGAAATTGCTCACACAGACCAGCCACTGAAAAGCATTCTGATCACTGGATTTACAGAAATCATTTCACTTTTAAGAAGAGTTTTTTAAACATTGTAACACTGAATATATACCGTAATCAACTTCTGACAAACACATGAATTATTATGTGAATTACTGTATCACTGTGAGACATTTAAGCATGTATTACTGTCTTTGGAAGGGTTTTGTCTTTCAAACACTATAAAATGTACAAGTTCATGTCATTTCTTATTTACATGATGCAATGCAGGGATTCCCCAAATTTTGTCAGCTGAATTTCTTTGACCCAATATATTTACTTAAAGATGACCCTGAGATTTCAAGTTAATAAGTAAAATAATATATAATAAAATTAAGTTCACTGTTCTCTGATATTAGTTAATGGTCACATGACATACACAGGTAAACAAATCAAATATTTTTTTAAATCAGTTTTAGTGTTTTATTTTGATTGTTTTTATTTTACAATTATTTTTATTTCAACCCAAACCCTGACATAATGTGATATTTAACGCACTTCATGTTGTTGTTGACAAAGAATGGAATATATTTTCTTTCTCTTTGTATTTTTATATCAATATGGTACAAGATTGTCCTATTTAAATCAATGTGATAAACAAATTAGGTCAAAAGTAATCTAAAAGAAGTGGTCAGATTAAATTACTTTAAATGTAATGGATTACGTTACTAACTACAGTTTTTGTCATGTAATTTGGAATCAGTAACTGACTACAATTTGTAAGTAATCTACCCAGCACTGGCTCTTTGAGCTAATTTTATGACCATGCACAGTTAACAATTATTCAGTTTTGGTCCACAATCTGAAAACTAAAGTATTTAAATAAAAAAAAACTGTATTTAATCAAATGAACATTTCAACAAAACATTTCCACAGTGATCAAAAAGGAGTAACAGAAGCCGTTGCTCATGACATCACACTGCTCAGTTTTTTATTGAACTTTTAAGTTATTCACCTTTTTTAAGTCTCAAACAACAGAATATGGCCGTTCATACGTGTTATCAACAGCTGCTCCCTAACAAATTATTAATTCAACATAATTCAAAAAATATATAACCTTCCTTTATAAGTAACATAATTGAATATGTATAAAATTGTGTTTGATTCACTGACCCATATGTAAATATTCATGGAGAAAAAGCTTGAAAAACATGTTAATAAATCAGCAATGCAGCTTGTATTATCTTTTGCAAGGTTATTAATGTGACTATATGTACAAACACCTGTTTTATGTTATTATGAAACACTTAATGTTCAATTTAGCATGATGCCTTCATATTCTGGGTATATTGACATTAAAGATTAATGGTAGTAAATGTTCTTAGTTAGCCGACTGAATCCATAGATGTTTATTTGATCGATTATTGTTAAATACACCATGGTAGTTTACTTATGGTTCATAAGTGATTTAAAACGATCATTTAAACAATCACTCATTCTTGAACTGTTTTAGTTCCCATAATACAGACTCTTTCAGAGCTCTTTGCTGCCATCATGTGTATTTCTGACAGACTGAATATGATTTAATAAGGTACATCCTTAAGAATGAAATTGTTTAAATTGTCTAAAATAACTTGGAACAATGGAAGCAATTCAGGTAGGAGTGTTTGAACATTGTATGTCAAGATAATAGATTAAACAATCAAAGCTAATGAGGAAGAATGTTTATTTTTTATTTATTTACATGTTAACCCTTTGGTTAACCAATTTGACGCATACATTTTTATAATTTAATTTTTGCTACAAAACTTGGTAAAGGTTTTAGCACTTGCTGTTCGAAAAGGTTAAATTGTCCTGAAATGGAGACAAATTTCATCTATTGGAAAATGTTTGTTATTGCGCACAAACAAAATCTTACTGAAAGCTAATTTTTTTAAGATATCAACACAGCTTATTTAGATTTATAGCTTTGATTTTCTCACAGTTTTAGAGTAAAACGAGTTTTGGAAAATATATATTTCATATAAAAAAATTAATTTGTATTTTTGCGCATTTTTCATAACAATAAATGTAAAATTGTATAACTTTCTTCAAGTTCCCTTTTTTCACATTTCAGCAAAAATCTGCCATGTATATTCTGTAAAAAAATTAAATAATTTTCAGGTCCATGATTATAGATTATAACTACTGCATAAATATAATTTAGTACCATAAAATCCCCTAAAAACACAAAATATTAAATAAAATACATTATCGAACTAAAATATAGTACTATAATTTTATTGAAGAAAAAAAAAATCGGTTATTTTTTGCTTAAGAAAAAAAACCCCAAAACAACTGCTGGACAGATTGTGTCCACTGCAACTAGACAAAAGAGGTTGATGTGACATTCTGTGGTGGGTGTGTGTGCGCTCTGCGCATGCGCACTCGTCCGTCTCTCCCTCCTGACCTCCTCCCGGTTTTTGAGCTGCTGAACAACTTCTCCCGTGAAACCCGCTCAAATATAGCCATACAGATCCTGGCACACACATGAGGCATGGCAGCTCTCTTCGGGAAGATCCAGATCGGCATTTATGTGGAGATCAAGCGCAGTGATGGTGAGTCACACCCAGCAGCCGCTCGTTTATCAGGCTGAGATGCAGTTTGTCGGAGCATCATCTTTGTTTAACCCGGTAAAGCCGTTAAACACAAGACAGCTGGTGCAAACGACGGGAGAGGATCGATACAGACCAATGCATACATATCCAATACCTTTCCGTCCTTGGCACGCCGTTGTATTGCATGTTTTTGGGATGCATGCTCCTGCTAACCCGTTAGCGAATTTACTAATTCTACTATGGCGGAGGCTTGACTCATAATTATTTATGAAGTCCTCCTGGCGTTGCTTGGTAACCGTTTTAGAGCGTCTAGGCGCAGAATCTACTTAAGCCACAACGTCAACAGAACGCTGACAGGCGCTTACTTGCTAATGTGTGCCGTTCAGCCAATCAGATACGCGCACTGGGTAAACGTCACGTTACGTAATTAATATTCATAAGCCAAGCCTTCGCCATAGTACGTTCGTAAATTCGCAGTCTCTTTGCATCCTCCCTGTGAGGAAGACGCCCAGAGACATCGCCTGCAAAACTCGTTTTTGTACTGCTGTTTTAGTTTATTATTATTATTTAGTTTATTGTCATTCCTATAATGTACAAGTGCAGCCATTTTTTCCTCTCTTTAATGTACATAAAATAAAGCATTAACCTTTGCTTAAATGTTATAGCTGGTCAGTAGTCCGTCCATAGTAAAGTTGTGTGGAAAGCAAGTGTGAACCCTACAATTTGGTTGTTAGTTAAGTTTATTCTACAACTTCTATCTTCCTGAAGTCTATTTATTCAGTAGTTTTTCAAGTAATCATGTATAATGTGTAATGGTCATTATCACAAAGCAAACTGACTATACTTATATTCCTTTCATAACTTGTGCCCATTACTTCTCTCTCTCTCTCTCTCTCTCTCTCTCTCTCTCTCTCTCTCTCTCTCTCTCTCTCTCTCTCTCTCTCTCTCTCTCTCTCTCTATATATATATATATATATATATATATATTGTGTGTGTGTCATGTATTTACAAACTTTTATGTTAGATGCAATTAATCGTGAATAATCGCTTTGACAGCACTAGTTTGTAGTGTTATCACCAGGATGCAGATCTTTGCTGTAAACCATTGTTTTGTTATCTATTTCAGGCAGAATACACCAGGCCATGGTTACGTCACTGAATGAGGACAATGAAAGTGTGACGGTGGAGTGGATTGAAAACGGAGACACAAAAGGCAAAGAGGTGAATTTCTGATATTCATATTTAATATGTCCATCATGTTGGCATAATGCACTAAAGACAAAAGCTTGAATGATTCCAGCAGAGTCACCATTCTTGCTTTCATGAGCCTTATGTTTTTATGATGACTGTAGTTGTACATCTCTCATACACACAGAATCACAGATATAATATTGATGTGTCAGGATCAATGGAGATTTATTCTAAAGCAGCTTTTGTATCTCTGCCTTAAATAGCTTCCAGGTTTATCATGTGAATTAATTTGTGCATAAAATACAAAGACAGGGCTTTTATCCTTCACATGTTGCTCTTTCATAACTCAGGAGAATTAATAGAGGTTAAGGCCCGGTTTCATAGACAGGGCTTAGTTTAAGCCAGGATTAGACCTTAGTTCAATTAGGACATTTAAGTAGCTTTTATAAACATGCCTTATGAAAAACATTACTGATGTGCATCTTGAGACAAAACAATGGCACTGACATATTTTAAGATATATCAGTGCACGTTACTTTAGTCTGGGACTAGCTTAAGCCTCGTCTGAAACTGAAACAAAATGATCTCCCTTTAAAATCAGGAGAAAATTGTGTTTCTAACTCACTTTTGGCATGTCTGGATGAGTTTAAGAGCAGGATGGCTTGCAATTTGGTTTAGTTAAACCACAGAAAAACAGATTATGATGCCGGTCAGAAGATGCTATATTGTTACTCATTTAGGTCCACGGTCAGCCTATTGTCATGACCAAATAAGGAATTGTGTTCGAACTAGAACTGAAATTCGACAAACAGATCAACGCTGTGTTAAGAGTTGTTTTTTCCAGATCAGGTCTACTGCTTAAAAAAAACCATTCTGTCGATAAAAGATTTAGAGAAGGTTATTAATGCCTTTATTTGGTCTCGTTTGGATTACTGTTTTGTTCTATATGTGGGGTCCTGTCTAAAGGTCGACTGATAGTGGATTTTACCGATAACGATAACTAGATAGGACCACGCTGGCTGATAACCGATTAATCAACCATGGTTCGTTTTAAAATAGATACTGAATGAAAACAAACATAACACATAAAATAGTGCTGAACATTATTATAAAAATTTAAAAACAGTATACTGAACCATGAAACTTTATTTGCTTCTATTTTAGAACACTTGGTTATCTAATCAAAATAACAAAATATGTATTACAGTGACAATAAAAAAAGAACTGAAATCGAACGCATTTCTGATTTGTTTATTTTTCTGTCGGCTGCATGAAGGTACAGTTTGCTTTCTCATGTCTCTAGCTTTAAATATGCAACTTCGCTGCATAACGAACGCATAAAGGGGACCAGCTGGATATAAACTAATGCAAATGGATGGGAACAATCGTGACATTAAACATTTGGGACGGACTTTTTAACCGCTTGAGGTACTACTAATGTTAGCGTCCTCTCAGCCTCGACGGCAAACATACTGCTCTTATTCACTAATGCAGTATCTAGGCAAGAAACTCATTACTTTTTTTAATGAAATTAAAACATTGTAGGATAGTGTCTTCTATAACATACCGTTTCATTGTTTATCTGCATCTGAAATGTCCCGCACTGTGCAGTGCGCAGCCTCACGTGTCAAAACAAACTCCACGAGGCGTCAGTGATAGTTTTTATTTCTCCTCTAGAGTCCGCTCTCGTACTGTACAGCAGCTCCGGCAACTGACGCAACCCAGAAAAAATATCTGTATGGATTTTTGCCGACAACTGTTTGCTGGAACTATTTCTGTTATCGGCAAAAATCCATACCGATATTTTTCTGATAAATACCGATAAATCAGTCGACATCTAGTCCTGTTAGACCATTATTTCATGCTTACAGTTAGTTCAAAACATGGTGGCCAGGCTGCTTGAGAGTGCTTACAAAGAGTGATCATATCTCTCCTATTTTGTCCTCGCTCAGGTCGCTGCCAATCGACTAAGGGTGTCACGATTTCGATATTAAATCGGAATCGATCGAAATTAATTCAATGGTATCGAAATCGAAATAAAAAATGGTATCGTCGATACTGCCACGCCCCATGTCGCGTCCGTGATGGAAAGTTCGGATCGTTTTACAGACTCTATTGTTCAATCTCGTTCATCAAAATTAACTAAACTTTTTTTCTAGTCATTTCAGGGGCTTTAAATGTTATACTATTAACATGCAAATTCCCCGAACATTAAGAAGATGTACATAATGAATGCAGTGAAAAATAATTTACACTACAGGGAACAAATAATTACTTTACCTTCCGAGTCTTTTGTTCATTTGTCGCATGACAGAGGCAATTTGAACAGATCGTTTATGATGAATGACTCATTCATGATGAACGACTCATCACGGTGCGGAAAACAAAACACCTGTTGAAAGGCTGCGACTGCGAGTCCTCTATGACACATCATGGCAACTGCAGATATCGAAGACCCATCAACGGAACTTGAACACCCTCCTGCTTCTCTGAAGTCGCCGGTGTGGAGGTATTTTGGATTTGCAGTGCGGTAGGTTGACAACGTTCGCGTTGTCGACAAAAAAGCCACAGTTTGCAAGCTCTGCTATGTGCGTGTACCATATATAAATACGGAGAAAGACATTCAAAGCTTCATTCTAAAACCCCAATAGAAGCCTTAATAAAAATATTGTTACATTTATGATGTTACTTGTTTTTGTTATATTTTAAATTTGGCAATGGTGTAGTGTACATTGTGAACAAATTTATATTGCATAATGCATAAACGTGTAGTCTGAAAATTGCATAGCAATCTGCGCTTTAATTATTATTATTATTTTTAAATCGAGAATCGAATCGAATCGTGACCTGAGAATCGAAAACTTAATCGAATCGAGGATTTGGAGAATCGTGACACCCCTACAATCGACAGCAGGATACAATATAAAGTATTTAAAGCAGTGCATGGAATGGCTCCTGCTTATGTGTCTGAGCTTATTATTTTTTTAGCCAAACATCTAGGTCTTTAGATCAACTAGCAAGTTGCTTCTTACTATCCCTCAAACACATCTAAAACTTCAAGGGGATCAGGCCTTTGCTGCTGCGGGTTCGAGGCTTTAGAGTGGTCTGCCGTATATAGAGCGGTCACATTCATAAACGCATTTAAAGCTAGTGTTGAAAACTACTTCTTGTCATTAGCCTTTAAGGAGTTAGGCTAGTATGGGAATGTTTTTGTTGATCCCCTTTTTAGGTCTTGTTTTGTGGTAATGTATACAGTATTTGAATTGTTGATTGTAGGTTACAGCACTTTGGTCTGCATGTAGGGATGGCTCGATACCACAGTTTTGGCTTCAGTACAGTACCACAATCTAATACCGTAGTATCGATATTAAAACGATACCATACAGGTATTAGGCTACGCATAATTTTACTCATTCTCGAAATTTCCGCAAATGTTTATTAGCAAATTAATCAACACAGATTATCACATCAAATCAGTAATTTGAAAACTTTCTTGTGAGAAGTAATTTCAGAAATGGTCTACTCTGCGTCTCCCCTCTCTCTCTTAAAATGAGCAAATTAAAGTCATCGCGCCTGCACTGTAAATACGAGCTGCGCGTGCGATAGCTACAACTCTTTTTCGCTTGTTTCGGGACAGCTGACGGAAATCACTTTACCACGTCTTTTTAAACCTTGCCAATTTAAACATCCAAAAGAATATGTATAATTCAGGTAGCCTACGTTGGAGCTCTTTTAGAGATGGTTTTCTTTCATACCAACAGCAACAGCGCACACACAACCCGCCTGAAAAGAGCTCGCGCATTCCAAATTGACCCTTCGCAGGGAGTTTGATTGACAGGCGATCTGACCAATCATAATCCACCGAATCCGCCAGTTAGATTAACGTTTGAGGATTTGAACTTGAAAAACGAAGTGTAACTTACTGACGTCTTTCCGTGGTTAAAATAACATTCCTTCTTATGTTCATTCACGTTTATTTGATGCTATAGAACTGGTAAGTCCCGCCCCTTCCGCTTACCCCGCTGGACCTCTAGGTTGAAAAATCGTCAATGCAAGTGAATGAGAGAAAATAAATATTTTCTAATCCCGTTTGAATTTTGCGATGAATGTGAACATATGTTGTCTGTGAATTTTTTATATAATTTCTCATGTAAAGAATTCTACAATTTAGCGGGTAGAATTTTCATACGGTTAGACTTTGTGTGAGAGCACTTTGTGGACTACAACTCTTCGCTGCTTTCGACGCGTTTGATATACGTCACCACCACTAGCACACGGATCCCGCTAAACATGCCTTTGTTTGAATGGTGACATTTGGGTACAAAACACACAGGCATCTCGATCTAATTCCTTAGATTATCGCACCGTGATTTGTGGAGGGAAAATGTGTTATGCGGTGACACAATTCAAACGGGATCAGAAAATAATTATTTTCTCTCATTCACTTGCATTGACGCTTTTTCAACCTAGAGGTCCACTTGGAGTTTTACGGATGGGCGGGACTTACCAGCTCTATAAATTAACTAGAAGGAAGAGATGATCGGTTCACGAGCAGCTTTAAATGAGGCGATACAGCGATCGGTCAGACACATTAAAGAGCCACAAAACTGTATTTATTGTTTAAATTTCTTAAAAAAATGACCAAATTTGAAAGTTGAGACTTTGTTTCATATCAAAAGTAACCTGGTCTGTCCCATAGACATAATAAATACATAGACGCCCTATTGTCCGCTTTGGAACGTTGCTGCGATACGTCAACGGGTCCGCCATTTTGCGGAGGGCAAGACTGCACTGTAATCAAATGTAAGTAAACGGGGGAGCTGCGTTTTTTCTGGATAAAAACAAACTGTTTTTACATTTATCAACCGATTTCAGTGGTTTGTATGTGGTGTACAAAAGGTTCCATCTCTAGTTATTTAAAATCTCGATAGTTAGACTTGTAAAATATTTTTTTTTAATAAAGAATGGTCAAAGGTCAGGCTTGTCATGTATCTGGCTTTTTATTCTTGGATAAGAATGGTGAAGACCCC